AAGATACTCGCTCACGTCAAACCAATATCGACAATATGTTATATTGCCTTTCCGTTTCGCTACTGCCCTTTCACCTTTTTCTTTTTTTCCACGTACACTATCTGCTATCCCATGCTCGCTTTTACGTTCGTTCTACTCTTGACTCAGCATGAATTGGTTCAAGTAACTCACTTCTCAATACCGTATTTCAATTCAACTGGTCTCTACTTTATTAGAATGCATTGAATTTTTTAGCAGTTTCTCAATATCATTCTTGTAATAGCTTTAATATTGCGCTAAAGTGTCCATTAGTTGAATTCGTCTGGTAATTTCATCTCCTAAGTATTCATTTTATTCTGCACGTTCTTTTTTATTTTCATGAGATTTCAATATTTATCGATTTAAAGTTTCAGGCAGTTGAATAGTAGAAAATGTACAGTGTTATTTTATTCACAAAGTGGCTTAATAGTTTGGAAAATATTCTAAAATATTTTTAGATCATTGATGAAGATTTAACTAACTTGTAGCTTGGATGTATTTATTTAGAAAAGATTGTAAAACAGTTATTCTCTGGTCTGTTGGAATAACAATCAAGTTTGTTTTTTTAGAATGTTAAATTTGCATTTGGATTTATTATTTACAGGAAATTGTGTTTAGCAGAAATAACATGACATTTTAAAAGAGTTTAAATAAGACATCAAAATTTTTATCTTGATTTTTTTTTCGCTGTCATAATAATTCTGTGAGAATTTTATAACATTAAAAAAAACACATCATTCTCTGATTTTCTCTAAAAAAAAACAGTTGTTAATAAACGGTCAGTAATAATTCACCTTAAATCGTAACAAAGCCACATTTTTGCTCTGATTTTATAGACGTCATTTAAACTTAACGACACATATTCCTTTTATTCTAGTTATAATAACCATCCTGAACCTCTGGTTTTTTTAACTTTAAAATTGTCAGAAGAAATTCTCATTGCAACAGTTGAAAAGTTCACTTCTTATTTGCAGCAGAAAAACAATTTTTTCGTCTTAACAAATTACTTTGAAAAAGCATGTGAGCTGTTCACGTACAGTGAAGAAAAGTAACGAGCTCAATTGCCTTTACAAATGAGGAACATTCCAACATATAACCGAGTGCTATAGTTAGAGTTTCAATTCTTGTATTTTTGTGGTAACATGCGAGCGTGAAGAACTTGCAAGTGATTCAAAGTTGAATGCTATCTAGATCCACCTAAATATTGTAGTACGAGCAACTGCTAAAATATCGAATGCAATAAAAGCGATAAGAGAAAATGACTCACTGCACAGTTTGACCATAATGTTTTAATTTATTTGCAATAATTGCTAGGTAAACTCAATTTTAAATTCACAAAAATCAATAAGAAATAAAATATAACCATATTGAACTATAATTAAAATATATGTGCTGGAGATATAATTGTTTTATTTTTTATCCTTTTGATAATACGATAATGCCATGTTTGTATGCTTTTGTTTTGACACTATAATTAATTAAGTATTGGATTAAATTATTCACTGCTGTGCATTGTAATAACGCATAAATTACTCTCAGACTTTAGAATAACCTGTGGGATAAATTAAGATGATTCCTCTGCTGCATATTAGTTCCATGCTAATGCCACTCACAAAGAATAGACTAAAAACAGTATAAATGAATTTATCAAATTTTATAAACATACTTTTTTTGTTGAAATACATTTTCAAATGATAATATTCTAGTAGCAAGGATATCTAGGCGTTGGCCTGGCTAGAGTCAAGCTTTCCCAATTTCTGTTCAAGCTCGGACTAGAAAACTGGTCAGGAATAAATCAGCTTCATGACAGGACCGTTGACCAGCGACAGTTTGCCGCCCCCAACTAGACGCTTTTAACAAAAAAAAAATGTATATCCTGGCAGCTATTTTAATCTTGATGATCAATAAATGACATCCAAAAATCTAGACAGCAGAAATAAAATAAAAGTTACTATTATTTAAAATCAGGTCTTAAGTAAACTTTGTTATTCCAGGTACATCTTCAAACTGCTTAACAGGATTCTGATTAACGTATCTTTGCTAGATTAGACTATTAAGCAACCAGACTTTCTCAACAGAATTGCTACCAGAATAAGAATCAACACCTTTTAGAAATAAATGATAATGGAAATATTTTCCATCCCTTAAATATCAATAAATTTTACGCTTATTATTCTTATGGATGAAGTATGACATTCACTAACGAAAAATTCAGTTTTAAATTCCATAAAATCTCTCAACTTCCCTTTCATTGGTCCTTAAAATCATCTACTGAAGCGGTAAACCTCAATTTTCTTGACTTTTATTTTACAGACTGCTTCTAAAACCCTTCAAAATTTTCATTCATGTAATATATGTCAGCATAAACTACAATGTATCAGGAAATGATAAAAGTACTTCAATAGGTTGTTAGCAAAGAATCATTGAGGATCAATTTTTATTCCTTATGACATTTTTTTTCCCCATACTCAGCAGATGAGTTTCTTCATACATAAATTTTTGAAATTAATGTTATTTATCGTCAATTTATTTGCAGTAATCTAATTTTTTCCTGCCAAAAAATTATTATCTCAAAATAGAATGAATTATCTGGGTAATTACATTACTAGTTCCAACCAAAGAGCTCAGAATAAACATGACTAAAATTCAATTCACAGTTGGAGAGTAATGAAAACTAAATAATTATAAGAATAATCAGAGAGAGAGCTATTTGAACTTCTTTGATCCTGAAAACGATGGATAATTGAGAAGTTTAATTGATAGAAATACCATGAAGATAGAATTCAAAGCTTAAAATAAGCTTCAAGCCAAGCTTTTATAGGAAATAAAGGAAATATATACATCTAATACTAATTTATAACCCAGACTCTTTATTATCACCAGAGAAACCTCTTTAACTGGACCACCACCCAAGATATTTTTTATATTTCCACATCGTTGGCCAGGAAATTTTGTTAAATATCTCAGCGAATAAAATTTTAGCACCCAACCATGGGTGAAAATTTATGTGTCTTTTTATACTGTCTCCAAAGGTCATCATTTCAAAAGAATCACATGTAAAAGTAAAAATGAACATTCACATAACCACTAGGTTCTACATCTATATCCTACAATCTATTTTATTAGAATGAAATAACAGTAGTTTTACATACTCAAGTAGTTGTCAGTAATTATTAATAACTAAAAGTTTACGTATAATATATGTATGTAGATAGAATTCAATACATAATAGATCACTTGAATAAGTGTCTTGTTAAAATTGTTCAGAATAAATATGTACACTTGTCAAGTGCTAGCAAATAGTTTTTTCCTTGGTCTACTATCACAGAATAAGACTAGGTAATAATAAAATGTACTGATGCTCAATTTGCATATGCAAGTGCATGGTACTCAGCTAAAACGAGTGGATTTTATATACACCTATTCTAATCGTGACTTTATGTTAGCATTTTCCAAGTATTAAGCTACACCTTGGTGTGTTCCTCTCTCATCTGCACTTCGCTTAATAGTTAAGTATGCTCATTTCACTGTACAACATTGAGCTGCAGGATTTTATTAGCTTTGATAACAAGTAAAGCAAAAGGAGTTATTTTTTTACTTCAGCTTAATTTTAAATCCATAATTTTAGAGAAATCTTTAGATGAAGCTTCATTTAGCATTGAAGCCAATTCATAATTTATTTTTAGTCTTGTATTTTATTGAGAATTCATTCAAAATATTGGAAATTATTTTTTATATTTCTTGGATGATACAGGTGTTCTCTGGAGGCTTATTCCACCTATCGAGAAACCTGAGAGAGCTTTTCTATCTTCCATAATAAATTCAATTTGCCTTGTGTAGATCTCCTAGGTGACATATTCTCACGAGCTCTCAAAGACGACCAAGGGCTTGGTGTGGAGATCATTTGAGTGTTCTCTATGCGTATGTAGTAGTTTCTAGATCTCTCAATGTGTGGAAATCTCCACAGGTCTGCCTTCATATATCTCCCTACGTTTGTCAAACCACAAAGACTTTATCGAGTATTTCTTCTTTATTTTATGCTGTAAAATTCCAATCACTTTTGTTCTTTGTTTTTATGTGAAAATAAAAGAAAAATTGCCACAGAAGTATTCATTTAAATATTACTTTTTTATGGTTGCTTCATTTAATAAATATTAATAAGAGGAAATCAGAGAAAAGCTAGATTACAGCATTTCAATTTAATTCCTCGTCAATAAGTTTACTCATTATTTGAAAATCAATATACTCTTTCATCAACAGTGGATTTGAGTCATAATATAAAGCCTAGATTACATGCAACAATTAATGAATTGACAAATTTATTTGGATTAAAATTTCATTAAATAACTTGTTTTTCATTTAGTAATACTTTCAATTGTTTAAAGTATTATCAATTAAATTATTTATTAAATAAAATATTTATTCTCATTCTATTATTCAAGTTCATACAAGAAAAGTCAGTGTATAAAAGTATTGTCAAATTGTAAATCCCTAAATAAATTATCAATTTTCTGAAGTAATAAAGATCAATTCCATTGAAATGCTTAGAAAGCTTATAACTCAGGAAATATTATTTAAAGAATTTGGTTAGCGCATTGTAAATACTAGAAAGAGGGTTAGCACGAGTCAGTGGTAATTATATGGCTTGAAATGAACAAAACTCGGTAGCTGGTGTTCTAGTATTTCCTGTTTAATGTGACTATAATCTAGATGGGAGTATAGGCTTCTATTTAATTATCGATTTATGCTAGAATTCATTGTTCACTAATGTATAAGATGATAAATAGAGTATTCTAGTTGTGGAAAATGAGATTTAGATAATTATGCGTTAGTGGTGATAATGTGGATTAATAAATATAGTTTAATTTAAACTAAACAAAACATATATTAAGATTAGGGAATGTTTCCCAACAATTAGTAATTATGTTATGTAGGAAATTTATAGTTTTGCTTTATTTTAATGAAAATAACTTTTGTTTCAGGAAAGCAATAATGCTAACAATCATTGAAGAGGATTCTTATGAAAAGGATGCTCTGTTTTATGTGGAACTCGGTGAACCTCAACTACAGGGAGGTGAGTTCGACCTAACATTTTTTATCTTCTAAACTATTTGATCCAATTAAAAGTTGATTCCTTTTTAAAATATTTATATTGATGAATTAATGAATAATTAAATATTAAAAGTTGACAAATAATCAAATTAAAAGCCAGAGAATCGAATAATAACAATTTTTTATCTCTAATTTAAATGCTAAATAGTAGATAAGTTATTATTTCAATAAAGTACACAGTAGAGTAGTAATAAATTTTTTTCAAGACTCTTTTCTATCTTCACCACTAAAAAGAACTCTCTTTTAAGCTTTAGACTACAACGATGCAATTTAAGTTTTTAGATGAACAACATGAATAGCTGAATCTTCCCTCAGTGTCTTAACAGATTTATCTAAGATACAGAAGTTCAAAGTACGACTCATGGTCGAATATTTTCCCTAGTACTTCTATCAAACTTAAATAAAAATAACTTCAACGAGAAACAAAGTCTCGAGTGAAAAAGTACTTGAATAAATGTCTTCAATCAACATCATTTACAATAAAGTCATTTTTGTTAATATAATGATAAATTATTAATAAAAATATAAATAATAGAGTGTCTTGTGACCTACAATTTATTTATTTTTTTTTTGATAATTATAAAATAAGTAATGAATTTTTCATTTAAAATATTATTTTAAAATAATATTCATTATGTTGGAGAGCATTATTTAAATTTTTATTTAATTAAAAGTTATTAATTTAACTAATAATTTTTAGAACTGTCTTCTTTCTAGAAATAAGCTTTTATAATAAATTTTTTTGTCCGTTTTTTTTATACATCAGTAGTTCTTTCTAGAGCAGTTATGAATTTTAGTGATAGATTTTCGACATGTTTATTCGAGCTTTCAACAAACTTCAAAGTCAAATTGATAACCATCCTTTATCAATTCTTCAAAAATAATATTTTCAGTTTTTCAATTATCACAATCTGTTTCTCAAAAGCAATTAAAAAACTCATTTAAACAATAAACAATACAATTTTGTACTGCATCGTGTAACTCATCTCTGAAAATACTCAATTATTCTTAAATAAAATTGACAATTTAAAATTTAGCCATCAAACAGAAAAATCTGTATTTCTATCAACTTCTGTTTAAAAAAAAATTGGTATTCGATTCTCTGTGAAGCAAAGATTAACATGATTGTATATAGCAAACCAGTAACATCAAAGCAAATATACTATTAAAAAAAGTCAAAAAATAATAATAACAATAAAATACGACAACACTAATCTCACAGTGTCTCCAATAATTCTTACTAACACGCCTACATAATGTTGGATTATTTTGGCGACTGGCCGTAAGTTTAAACAAAAACACCTCAAAGGATAACAATAATTATGCAGTTAATTTTATGCTGCTGCTTTTATTAACCGCCACTTGCCATCGCACGCATCATATAACTTATCCATGGCAGTTAATAGATTCACTTGCTATTTAATTGCATTATTAGTCAAGTGCCTTTGAAAATGATCAATTGGCAATATATAGTTAATGCTGATTTAAAATAATGTCCACAGTGTCGGTTTAATCACTAACTATCGCGTGTATTCTGCACCTGCGTTGGATCTTATCTCCAATCATCATCATACCATACGTAATTTACTATACACGTTCAATAAATTACTTCACACGCACAATTTTTATATCAATCGATTGTACACTTTTTATTAAACTTGACAAAGAATATAAAAAAAAAAAAACCAGTAAAATATGAATTGAAACGAAAGAAATATCATTATCTGGTTTATGCATTTCGTATAAGTCTATAATATGTATTGAGGTAACTGAGGTCTTGTCCATTTGTGCTCAGTTCTCCTGTGGTAAATTTGCATATTACGAGGTTTCATAGAGGCGTAACATGTGCAACCTGACACTACAACGCTACCGGAGCTTCGTTCGTCCGTTCTCATTTTGGTCTTTTACTTTTTTCCTTTTGTACCTCTCACTTCCAACCTTTTTAAACATATACACATATGCGGTATATATTTATGCATGTATGTGCCTTCGAGTCTTTGCATATGCAACAACATTTTACCGCATAATATCGCGTATCTTTAAGCGGGTGGTTCTAAATGACGATAATAGTTTGTGTCGGGTTTTATCCTTTTTGAAAACAAAGTCATTTAGTCGGTAAAATACTAGAAGGAAGTTTGAATCTTCTAAGTTATTTTGACTTCTTTTAATCTAAACTGAAAATTCCATTTCATTTGAATAATTTAATTTTTATTTAAATTCTAGAAAAAATTATAGTCAATTGAGTAGAAACGTAATTATGTTTTAAAAAAAAAACTTGACCGATTTAAAATGATAAATTTTTTACAGACAACATATTTAATAGCCTTGAAAGTGAAAGAGTATCCAGCAAAAATATACTTTTTAAAAAAAAAAGAATAATTTTTCTTTTCATCTAAAAATCTGAATAAAATTTGCAGTCCACAACTTCTTTTTACATTTCCTCTTCAACTAAAACTTTTGATCTTTCTTTGAAAAAATCCCATTCCGAAATTTTATTCTCTCAGTATTCTTCTAAAAATCACCATAAACAATCAATTAAGCCATAAATTTATTGCCTTTACTTTGAAACAAAAAAATTCATTTTAATTTAAATTGTTTCATTAATCTCGAAGATATCAAACTGAAATTTACGACCATTTAACTCTTCCAGTTGTTTCTAATAATAATAAAGCACTTATTGACAGTTAAAAAAAAACCTCAATAAACCAAAGTAATTGATGGATTTCATTGAGTCTAGAGTGGTCCAATATTCGTGAATCGAATGTTGTGTTAATGGTTTAAAAACAACAGCGAGAAGTAGAAAGTAAAACGAGTGAATGGACGATCTAAAATTGAACACATAATTCACGGGAGTTTAAGAATGAAAGTAAAGTAGTGAAGTACACAAGTACAACAGAGTCAGACGAGTTTTAATTAATGATCAAAAGAACCAGGAAATCACTCACTCACTCAAATAAAAACCTTAAGTGTACGATAGCCAATTCCATTCAGTAAAATTCTTTGATGCTTTTGTATATTTTGTATTCTATTGATTTTTCTATTCTCTTTACACATAATCTGAATGAAATTGAATAAAAAAACTACAATTTTCTTTTAGCACGGAAATTGTTAAGAGGAAAAATACAAAAAAGAGCCCATAAAAAATAAAAAAGCATGACTGGAAATTTAGATTGAATAAATATCAAATTTATCAACGATACATTGTCTGCAGTTATGAAAATGTAACGATGCTTGGTAAAGCTCTGAAAATTTTTAGAATTAATGAAAGATGCATCATGAATAAAGCCGTTAAGAATTAAATAAAACATTCTTAATGCAAGTAGTCAGATGTGAATAATAGCATTGAAAAAAAGTGAGATAATTGATAAATATAAGAAAAGATTTACTAATGAATATTAAAATAATTATTACTAAGCATTATTTTGTGAAATAATTCCATACATTAGTCAAACAATACTCCCTCTACTTTGATCATTCAATCAACCCTTATTTCCGTCAGTGTTTTTTATTCAATGATACTTAGAAAATAAGAAGAAGATCATTAATTCCAATCAGGATCTTTAGACCAAAACTTCCTGTGGATTAAGGATGAAAAATTACTCAAAAGAGACATGAAAATTTATGGATTCCGATTATGGAATATTTTATTCCAAGTTATTCTGATTTGTAATTTAATAAGAAGATCATTTAGACTGCGTTTTCTGCTAGAAATATTCTCTACTTAATTTGTAAAATACATACTAAGCCAACTACAACTCAACTAGAAATATTTTGCCATGAGGAAATAAAATATTTCATGTACCAAAGTTAAATAAATCTACAGAAATTTTCCGATTGATAAATAATTTATTGGCTTAAACTACTGGTGCTCTTAGGAAATTTTTGTTTGAACAAATATAAACAGTCTTCACTGAAAGTAAATATGTGGATAAAATCAATAAAATCCTTTGCGCGAACGTTTGGAGAAAGAGTGATGCAAACAACTGTTGTATCGAGTAATTACAAAACAGTGTAACACTCTAACTATGTTTCACGAAACTTTACCCGAGTCTGGTGCTTACTTTTTAGTTCATTTTCACATTTTTCGTGTTAGTAACGAACAATGTAAGAAACATTATCATTATTCTCTTTTTGTTTTATTTTTCCATAAACACCAAAGTGTTGTTCAGTAATAAAATTTATATTTCTTTCATTCAGAAGCAAATTTTCAAACTTTTTGATGATTTATTATATTTTTGGGCATGTTTCCACACCGGTGGTAAAATTTTGGTTATTTCTGAACATGACTAAACAGTAAGAAAAAATAAAAGATACTGTATGGGAACTCTGTGAAAGCATCGAGTTTCTCACTCTCTTCTGTCAACTCCCTGGAGTGTAATTCAAGATCGCTTGCTATTCTATCTTTATAGCTGAGTTTTGAGTTTTATTCTTTTTGTACTTTTTCTCTGTGGCTTACTTTACAAATACATCTCTCCCGGAATCCGCTTTGCTACTGTCAAGCGGAATGCAAGTTTCATAATACTCATGAGAAAACAGCCAACTACTGATCCAAGTTCTCCAAAGCAACATTACTATGCGACTTTGTTGTTATTTTATTTATGAAGCCAGAGTTTTCAATTAATTCCAACCAGTAATGGACCTCTAACTGGACCGCAATTCCTTTAATTTTCTTTTTCCTCAGAGAAATCAGTCAAGGTGACTTAGATAGCAACACAAGTAGTAGAGAAAAACGTTATGTCGTCCTTCATCTTCACTTAAACTGACTTAATCTCCTGAAATAAAAATTTATTTATTTCAGTCATTTATTTATTGATCATTTTAATGGTGGCTATAAAGTTACATATTTTAAACATTAAACGTAATTTAATTTTTCATTTTTACCTTTTTGATGTGGATAAAGTTTTTTTATTGGCCTGGAAAATTGCTTTCTCACTGGAATAATTTTATCTTGGTGTGGAAACA